ATTGGTTTGTTTTATCATTGATAACAAATGTAATAGAGTTTGGGTTGCTTACGCAACATGAAATTTGAAAAAGACAAATCGTGCTTAATATTTGTTGTATTGGGAATATCTTATATTTAAATAAATGGAAATATGATTTATATTTGACAAAAGAATTGTTTAGACTTTGTTACTTTGTGTTGCTCACGGGACACGGTACCATAAAAACAGGTTCGACCTGGCAGGTTATCGACTAAAAAATGGGACTGATAGTTGGATTGACTAATGAGTCTTGTTTTTATTTGGTTTAATTATCTTTATTGAATATACTATATTATGAGTATGAAGTATGAGCTATTTTTTACATATTACAATAGATCGGATTATTATAATTATTACTTTTTTAATTGTATCTCATCGTACTATGCAATTATGCATGATCGATTAACAATACATTACTATAATATTTAAAAGCCAAATATTTATAAAAAGTAAACAAAATCATGGAATATGATTTTTTTTTCTTTTTGAAAAAATATTTAGTTTCATGACAAGTAATACTTTTTTAACAACTTCAAGTTTTTTTTTTTTTTTTTTTTTTTTTTTTTTTTTTTAAAGAAACAAAGAATATTATCTTAGAATATTACGTGAAAACATATTCTTTTTGGGTGTAGATCTATAGTTGATTATGCTAGTCTACTTTAACATGATTTCTAATAAGGTATTGGATTAAATCTAAGATGTATACTAACTCGTCGTTCTAAAAAAAATAAAAAATATATTTGGTAAAATATTATATGTAAATAAAATAAATATAATACTTGTTGTAATAATATTTTTAACTATTAATATTATGGTTAATTAATTTAAAATAACTTTTTTATATAATTATTTTTATTTCAAATATCAAATATTGTTTTATTTTTAAGATATCAATATAATTTTTAATTTAGTGATTCCTTTAAATATTATTATTGTTAGTTATTTTTAAATCTACATTTTAAAAGTTTGATATTTATAAAAAAGTAGTTTACATAACTTTTTAGTTAAGTTGACATTACTATTTTAATTTTACTTTTACTACTTTTTTAAAAAAAATAATCGTTGGATCTTTTTTTTGATATTTTGATATAACATTTTTTATTTTTTATTTAAATTAACAAAATAAATATTCATATCAATAATTTAAAAGTTATGAAAGCAACATAATAACTTTTTAGGGTAAATTACACGGATGGTCTCTGTGGTTTAGGGTAATCTGTATGTTTGGTTCCTAACGATTTTTTTTAGCTTGGATCGTCTCTACTTTATATTTGTGTTACAAGCTTAGTTTCTATCCGTTCTAAAAAGACTGATTTACCCTTATTGATTTATTTTATCTTTTTTAAATTATCAGTTAATTAAAAAAATATTAAGTAAATGTGGAAAGAATATTAAGTAAATGTATAATGGTTTGATTCAAGGACCTACACTACACACTCCTCCCTCACCCTGCCTCATGTTTAGTCGCCGGAAAATGTGCCTCCTATTTAGTCACCGGAAAATGCAGACTCCATTAAAAAACGCTTGACTTCATCAGAAAACACTAGATTCCACCACTTTCCACCTTTACCCCACCCGACCCACCATTCACATTCCTACTAGTTCCCTTTCCATTGTTACTATCTCCGGCTACCATCATTTAATATTCACCATCTAAAAATTGCTAAGCATCAAAGCATCGTTAATAAACAAAAACCCATGTAAATGAACACTGATACCTGAAATCAAAATCTGAAATCGTTTACAAAAAATGAATTATCTTCCACAGTTTTAATCCCGGTTCACAACGATGGATGAAACCAAAACCTATAATAATCTTCAACCGAGTTCTTGCTTCGTAATCGAATCCAAACAAGTTGCAAAAACGCCTATCAACTTTTCACATCAAAATTGATTTCTTCCTTTAGAAATGAATCCATCAGATGTAAATAAAAAAATCCCTCTTTTTTGCATTTTGATTTCTTGATTCACCATTATCAAATCAGGAACTTTTCACCTTCTAAATTCTACATGTTTTCACTTTAATTAAGAATGAAGATGGAGTTGAGAAACTTCAGGTACATGGAAACCCAAAAGAAAGACAGATTCAATAAAATTGGCTTGTAAAAATACCAAAATCCCCAAATCAAGTTTTTCACATTTTTTATGTTCGTCAGGTTTCGAGTCATCGGAAATATCCATGGCACCTACTTGACAGGAGGGAACAATAAAGGTGACATTGAGTTTCCATGGAAGCTTACATCTTAAAATAATTCATTTTCACATGTGAAAGACAAATGGGTTTATATCTGGTGCTAGATGTTTGCAGGCGACAAAGAAAGAAAGGAGATGGAGGGTATGGAGGGTAGTCGCCGACTGTGGCATTTCCCGGCAACTAGAGCATGGAAGAGAGAAACGATGGTGAAGAAATGATTGTTCGTGAGTGGAGGGTTCTTTCACAGAACCATGGATGAACGAAGAAAAGATAAAAGCTTCATACAGTACATAAGTTGTGGGTGGGTTGGTGGGACCCATCTTTTATTAAACAATTTCTTTAGTAAATAAAATAATGAATAAACATTAATTTAAATATAAAAGACATAGACAAGGGCAATACAGTCTTTTATGCCAGGGACAAAGCGTGTAAGAAAAATATAAAGTAGGGACGATTCGAGTTAAAAAAAGTCTTTAGGGACCAAGCATGCAGATTACCCAAAACCACAGGGACCATCCATGTAATTTACCCTATTGCATGTGTGTGTGTGTGTATATATATATATATATATATATATATATATATATATATATATATATATATATATATAGAGAGAGAGAGAGAGAGAAAGAGAGAGATAATATATTTTTTTCTAATAAATATTCTAATATTTTACTGTTCATAAAAATTAAATATGTGTAATATTCTAATATCCTAAACCAATAATTTTAACATATTTTACATTGAAATATTCTAAAAAATTTAATGTTAGAATATATTGCATATTCTATTTTTACGAATAATAGAATATTAGAAAATTTCAATAAAAATTATATATATATATATATATATATATATATATATATATATATATATATAAAATTTAATATAAAAAACTTATTTATTATTTTAACTTTAAAGCTAGTGTTCATATAATTTAATATATACTATTAAATATTCTAATATTCTAGTGTTCATAAAAATTAAATTTGGGTAATATTCTAAGGGAAAAGTGAATATACCCTTAAGGGTACATAAACTTAGGTACCCAAACACACCATAATACGTCGTTTTGTTTGATACATTCATTATTATGTTCTTAAACTTCAACCCTTAACTTGATTTATTTTCAAGATTTTCGAAATTTCACTTTTATCTTCCTCTTATATCACATATTTTATTGATCACCTACTAGTCTATATATATTGTAGTTGAAAATGAAAATTATGTAAGAGAAAGATAAATGTGTAATTTATAAAAATCATGGAAGTAAATCAAGTTAGAAGTTAAATTATAAGACCATTGGACAATTAGAATGTATTATATAATACAAAACGACGTGGTATAGTGAATTTGGGTACCTAAGCTTATATATCCTTAAAGGTATATTCACTTTTCCCATATTCTAATAGTCTAAAACAATAATTTTAACATATTTTACATTGAAATATTCTAAAATATATAATGTTAGAATATGTTGCATATTCTATTTTTACGAACAATAGAATATTAGAAAATTTTAATAAAACATTTGCTGTCAAAGTCTCATATATATATATATATATATATATATATATATATATATATATATATATATATATAATTTAGTAAATTATATTAAAAGCTATAGAATTAGCTTTAAAAATAAAATAATCAATCAATTTTTTATATAAAAAATCAAATTATATGATTTAAGAGATATTTTTTCTGTGAAACATAATAAACAAAACTATTCAACCTTTATATATTTTTTCGTCAAAAACAATAAAAGAAACTGGCCAAATTACATAATGGGCACAACCCAACATACATAACATGTAAGGGTGACAAAGACATCTAGCATCCTACAAACGTAATCCAGTATATCGACATTGGTGTTTTCGACCTACAAGTACAATGAAGAAATATACCTCAATCAATAACATATATTCTTACACCCGAGCTACTGTTATGAGAACCTCCTCACACTATTTATATCAAACCAAACCCTAATTAATAATTAAGGTAAATATCCGACTCAACAAGTCCAACCACTAGAACTATTTCTTAATTAGGGAAAATACCATTTTGCCCTTCCAATCCCTAAATCCTTCACAGTTGACCAAAAGTCAAACTAGTCAAAAAGTCAACAGTTAACCTTCTGTTGAACTACACATGGCATACTTATGCCTCTACACGAGGCGTAGAGCCCTCAACACTAAACACTTATTTCACTAAGACTTTACATTCAATACTCACATCTGAACCTAATGAGCATTCAAATCGTAGTTTTGTAACATCATTTAATGGCTAACAACTCATGCATGAGTCAAATATAACCGTTAAGATCCAAATTTTTATGTCATAAGAACCTCCAAAATAACAAGAAATGCTAAGCCTAAGCTCTGAAGTAGCTCTTAGTCACAAGAACCAAAACCATGGGACCATAATTATACAAACAACAAACTAACCTAGATCTAAACTATGGATCCATAAAGGTGAGAACTTTATACCTCAAAAAGTTGGCAAATGAGATGAAAGTTTTGGATCTTCAAGCTTGAGCCACACTACACCACTATGATAGATCTCCTTTTTCTTCAATATGCACCAAAACACACAAAAATGTTCACAACTAGCTCACTAGGAATTAGGGTTTCGAGTTAGTTGTTTTGGGGATAGTGGAGGTTGAGTATGGAGAGGCCTCACGGGAGTTAAGGCCTTTAAATAGGGCCAAAATCCTAAAATTCCAGGTTTGGACATTGCGCACTTACGCCCTGTGTAGGAAGTATGTTACGCCTTGCGTAAGGTCCATTTTTGCAAGAAAATTATACTTTAAGCTATAAATGAAAATACATGAGAAAAGGGTGTTACACGAAATTAAGTAGTGAAAAATGGTAATGAGCTACAATAAGGCTATAAGTAGTTAAAAGTCATTAGTAGTGAAAAATGGTGTCAAGGAGTAAGGAAGTAGCAATATAGAGAGGGAAAGAGAGATATTGTAACCGAGCGTATCCAACTTCATGGAAGGTCACACTTAGACTATGCAGAATGGTTTACAACACCATGCCCTTAAGTTGCTAGTGAGTTTAGGGTAGAAAGAGAAAGATAGAATTGAGAAAAAGAGCAAGATAGACCAAGGAAAGAGATTGTGACCAAGCGTACCCTCACTCATGGACCATCACACTTTATGGATGTTAGGCATAGTGTATGGAGGTGCTCTCACTCACGGACCATCACACATACGGATGTTAGGCATGGTGTTTGGAGGTAACTCACACGTAACTTGGCTACATTACATGTAAAAATGTGAGTATATCCCAACACACATTAAGGGTGGTGTGTTGCATGGCTTCTTACAAATGACCAAGTCACATTTACGCATGACTTCGCTACACACTCCCTGTAGCCTAATGGCCATTTGTTTTGTAGCACAATGCTTTTCTTTTACAAATACCTAGTCACACATTTATAGAAGACCAAACTTGCATTTGTTGGGATTGATTCAATTCCAATACATAGAATACATACATACAATGACCAAAAAGACAAAAAAGTACGAAGGTAGAATGACAATCCCTCTCTATTTAGGATTGTTTTATCAACAAGTGTATTGAACTCCTTGTCTTCCTAAAAATCAATACATTGTCTTGAACGGCTGATAGATTTTTAGATCATGAACAACTCCGGCAAAGGACCCGGCGGCAGCACAGATGGATATAATCAAACAAGCAGCACTCAAAATCTGTAGGGAGATCCACCGTGTGCTCCATTTCGGTATCTTCTTCTGAACAATATACATTTCCACCGGAAAATACACAGTCAACGGCCAAAACCCAAACGCCCCAAGGATTCCGACAACGTCATTGAAGAACGGCATCAACATCGCGATAATGGTGGTCAAGCACACAAAGATGGATCTCCAGACCAACCGGAAAAAGTTTAGCTTGTAAGGTTGGTATCCTCCGATCGGAATGGGAATCTCGATAGTGTTGTTGATGAACTTGCTTTCCGGGAAGTATCTAGCGGCGGTGTTTTCAACGAAGGCAAATAAGGGTTGACAGTAGACTTGGTAGGCTCCGACGAGGTGGATGACGATGGCGGCGTTGGCAATGTCGAGAAGCCAGTAAGGGTTGTAGAAACCGAATCCGGTGAGGAGGTTTCCGGGAGCACTGTCTCCGAAGGCGGCGTATCCAAAGCATCCACAGAACATGTAGAAGATGGTCGTCGTTGCTACACTTATTAAAGTTGCTTTCTTCATTGTTTTGTGCTCTGACGGAGGAGCTTTCAAAGTATCCTAAAGATCACCGGAAAATATATTTTAAAATTTCCGATTACCTTTTCTCATTTGTAAGTATTGATTCACTAAAAAGATTTATATTTTTACCTGGATTTCAATCAGGATGAGGGAATAAGAATAAGCAAAAGCAATGGCTCCAAGAGCTTGAAAGCTTTGCCATATTTTCTGGGTTTGAGTCACCTTGCCGATGCTAATACCAGTGAGACTTCCCTTGATTTTGCGATTTTCTGTTAATCGAAAGAGAAACTTAGATGTCAATTTCCAATTTCTTTTAAAATTTTAAAAAAAATTATGCATTATGCATATTTTAATAATGTATCGATATTCCAAAACAACCAACACACTTTTTGCAGAGATTTAATGTTAATTAATTACTGATTTGACTCAAAAAGTCATCGGTTTTGACTAATTAAAGTAGGGCGTATAACTGTATCCCTTCTTTTTTGACCAATGAAACATAAACTTACCAGCAACTTTAGATATTCCGAGGCCGAGACCGATGGTGGAATAAGTGAACGACATAACGGCAGCCACCATTGAAAGCCATGAAATCTGATCAAAATCTGGAATTTGTGACAAGAAGATCTCTACAACACCAAACATGACCATGTATGGAGTCCCGGATACACCACATGGATTATCATGACCTTTCTCATGGAAACATGTTGATCTCTTTACTGCTCTGTTTTCACAAATCAACGAAAAAGAAAGTAAGTATAAGAAACCCAGAAGCCAATTATCTATTTTAACGTTAAAAAACATTAAACAAAATGTTTTTTTAGAGGTCCTCACATCATGCTAATGGAGGCTGCAATGGTGTATCCGATTGCCACTCCCACGAGATTGAAGTACTGAATGAACCCACAGATTTTCACTTGAAACCCACCTGAAATTTTCCAAAACACGTTATGATTAGGCTCTGTTTCATTCGGAAAAAATAAACATTCTGATTATAAAATTTCAGAAAATCGTACCAAGATTGCTCTGAACAGCTTCCATATACGTATAGTTCCGTTTTCCAGTGACAGGGTCGCCGGAGCGGTAGCAAGCGGCGAGAAGGCAGGAGGTGTAGTAAGTCACAAATGAGAAAAGGAAAAGAACGGTGGGTCCGGCGATCCAACCCAGCTGCGCGGTGGCCCATGCTAGTGACAACACACCGGAGCCGATAACCGCTGTTATGATATGTGCACTTGCAGTCCAAACATTACCTATACCGACAAGAAAAATCAAGTCCCAAAATCAGTAAACAGTCAAAGTTGACTCCTTTGACCATGGAAGTCAGGAACGATGAAACACCCCAAAAAAATTACCAGATCTTTTAAGACGTCCGTCATCATCGAAGCACTTCGATGGTCCCTGAGGAGCGAAATCTCCGGCAGCAAGCTCGAAGCCTTGTTGAGGTTTTCCGGCAGCGTTATCGAACCCCATCTTTTAGGAACAATTTCGAAAACGTAACAGATGTAAATTTCAAATGAATTCAAATTTCTATGGAACTGAATACGCAAATTCTGAAACTTTGTACAGAATCGAATAGAAAGCTGATGATCCTGAGAAGACAATTCTCAATGGTGTTTTAAATAGTATGGTCAAAGATCGATATTAATGTCTCCGGTGTCTGCTTTCAGGCTAAAAGAAGTAAGAAGCTAAAGGAATGGAGAGGAGGTGATAAGGGATGTGAAAATGGAGGTGGGATTGAGGGGTTTATATAAACTGTGGTTATGGGGAGTCGAGAGAGAAGGTAAAGGGCATCACGTGTCCAAATAATGGCACAAAACGATTTAAAATATCAAAAGAAAAACACTAGAATTAGACTTTAGTAGCCGACTTGTGTTTTTCATTTTTTACGTTTTTATTTTATTTTTTTTATTAGAAATACACTTTTTTCTATTATTATAACATTTATAAAGATTTTATAAAATTGAAAAGGCAAACTAAATATTCTAGTACTCATGACTCCCTTAGCCTACAAAGTTTTATTTTGGATTGTTTATTTGTTATTTATCAACTACCATGAATGATAAAGTTTACAATATATGTTTTTTATTTACTATCATTAAGTTAGGTTTTATATGTTTGTTTGGTAGTTAAAAATTTTGTATTGTATTACATAAATGATATATTCTTTTGACTTTGAGCATTTTTTTTTTGGGTGTGTTAAGTTTTTTGCTTTTAAGCTTCCCATAATGTGTACCATTAAATTTTATTCCAAACTAAGATGATTCTTGTAAATATTTGAAGTTAACATCTACCTAATTCAATTATTTAGAGTTGAAATAAAACTGTTTCCAAATCTGATAAAGTATATTTTTCAACGTTTGTGCATATAAGTCGAGCTAGGCACGAATATATTTGTGATTGCTTATTGCTGTGCGTTTAAAAAAAAATTTAAAATTTCAATCTACGTTGTATTTTATTTATTTATTTTGGTTGGAGATAGTTGTATAACAATTGAATCAAGAGCACCTGTAATGGATTAGATGGTACAATTTTATTGTCATCTTTAAGTTCATTGTTGACACTAAATAAATACTTATTTTATATTTTTAGATGAAAAACCAACATATAAAATATAATTAAATAATAACGAAAAAGATTTCTTTTAAGTCTGTGATGTACCACAACAAGCTGATAAGTTAGTTTATTTTTCAAGATTTTTTATTTTTGTCGTGTTTAACAATTTAAAAAATAACTTAAAAATTAGTCTTTTGAAAAGCTACTTAGAATAGTTTTTTAGGAATTTTTTCTAAAATTTTCAAATATACTCCATACTTAATTATAGAAAAAATATCCTTAAATGCTTTTTTTATGTAATTTTTTTTATCAACTAGTTTTTCAGATATTTTGATCAAACATTATTTTTTATCAATTAGTTTTTTTAGCTATTAACAAACTTTTTATTTAACAATTAATTTTTCAGCAATAAACTAGTTTTTCAGCTAATATACAAACATAAATACTTATAACTCTTTCAAAATACTTTTTACAAAATAAATATGTATTAAATTGCATTTAATGTATATTACTAACGAACTTTATTTCTCAATTAAAAAACAAAAACTTAATAATAACTCATAACAATCCAAATACTATTACAATAAATATATATTTTTCTAGTTTTTTTTATTTAAAGGTAAAACTCTGATTCAATTTTACAAGCGTAAAATCTCTAAACAAATTAAGCCATTAAATATTAAATAAATATAAGTACGTTATATTATAGTTGTTGACTGATTGACTCAACTCAATGAGAAAATGAATAAAAAATCATGTTTCAAGTGAGTGAAAATTAAGAAAAGAAAAGAAATTATATTCTATAAAAATGATCAATTTGATTAATTAGATAAATAAAAACCTTTATAAATTCCAAATAAACAAAGCATCCATTTCTTTCCATTTCCATCTACCAAATGGTGCCTAATAATGTTTGACACATTGTTTGTTTCTTTTTTTTTTTTTAAATATTATACCAAATATAACAAAATAATAAAATAAAGGTCATAAGTGTAATTAATATTTATCCATTCTTTTTTCTTTTATGTGTTTTGGAAATTAAATGTGTTTCAAAATTATATATCTTAAATTTGAATGCTCATAAATTCTATATTTCAGTAATATGAACTTATATATTTAATATGAACTTTCAAAATTATATTTGACAATGAAAAGAATATATTTATAATATAAATAGATATAAATTTTTATATAAAAATGTGTCATGACTCACGTCGGAATGAAACTAGTATTATATAGATATAAATGAAATAACCTCAACAACATAGTTGAAATTATACCGATAGTTGCGTAATAGATGTATTGATTGAAAATCAAATTAAATAACTTTAGCTAATTATAATAAAAAATAGTTAAAAAAATATATTAAATCTACTATATAACAATGCTAAAATCAATAACAAAAACAAAGATCTAAAAATAGTAACAAATAAGTATGTAAAGAAACTAAATATTCAAAAATGATTTTGTAAAAAAAACAATTGTAAAAATAACAAAAAAGTATTTCTTAGAAAAGTAATAAATTTATATATAAAAAAAAGTTATAAGATGAATTTCGCAAAAATCTTAAAGAAAAAATTGAAAAAAAAAAAGTTAGTAAAAACGTTTTTTGTTATTACAAACTAAGTTTAAAAGTTAGAAAAAAAATTACTTTTCTAAGAAAATAGGCTTTGAGAACGTTTAATAACAAAATAAAAAGAAAATTAGAAAAAACAAAATTGCTCAAAATTATATATATATATATATATATATATATATATATATATATATATATATATATATATATATATATATATATATATATATATATATATACGATTTCGATTTTGAGGCTCATTTGGGAAAGGTTGGCCGGAGTTGCTCGGAAAGAGGCCATTTTGGCTGGCGGTTCTACCGGGGAGATTAAACAAAAGACGGGAACACAGTTTGTCTCTTTGACGGCTTATGCATCCGGCTTGCTTTTCCTTTTTCTCTTATAGTTTGTATGTTTTTAATTATAAAAAACAATGATGTAAAAAATAGTTGAGTGAGTTGAAAAATATGTTATCCAATTGCCATGCTTTAGCTAGTATCAAGGTTCATAACCATAACCCGTATTTTAAAAAATACGTAGTCCTTGTACCACATAAATTTCATCTGAGTCGATTTTATTTTTTTCTTTAAAAATTTCAAAGTTGTTAGAAAGGACAAAATAAAAGAAAACTTTTTCAAAAAGAAAATTGTCATATCATTTTTGAAGTTAATTAAAGGTGCTACTAATCATTATAAAATTTCATATTTGAGGGTTTTCCGCTCATTAGTTTTACTACCAACATGAGTATTTAGATAACAATTTCCTAAAACAAGGAAGTTCATTGTCAAACTTCAAACGAAACTCCAATTACAGAATTTCATCATCAACCGTTAAGACAAACAACATGGAAACATTAATTGATCATATAGAACATAATGAACGTGAATAATGAAATCGGCTCTACGTTAGGGATAGATGAAGTTATGTTTCCATCTTAAATACGATTAACATGTGATTTTATATATAACCATATGAAATAAAATCAAAATAACGTGAAAAGAAGATACATACCTTGATTTTGGTAGGCTACTTGCAAAGGGAAACACAAGGATGGGAGCAAGAGAGCAAAACACTCAAATGCACCTCAACACTAATGTGTGTTTCACAAATGTTATCTACCTTCACCCGCTATAAATACTAATCTTGAGAATCCAATATAGACTACTAAGCATTTTTATAACCTAAAAAGGGTTATGTTTGTGGAATTTAGACATAAACCCACTTTATATATTTTTAAGAACATTTTGAAACTTTATCTGGTAGATATAAAAACAATTATCTCAACCTTTTATCCATTTATGATATTCTTTAGGAGTTTAGGTGATAGCATAATTTTGAGATTTGTAGATTATCATTAGAAACTAATAAGGATATCAGGGCATCTTAAAAAATTAAAAAACCTAAAAATTTTAAATAAACTCCATCATCAATTTAATCACATCAAACTTTTTAATCATTAATTTTTTTCCCTTTACTTTTAATAAAATTAATATAGTTTAATAAAAATTCATATGTAAAAAAACATTTTTCATAATAAATGTGTGTGTATATATATATATATATATATATATATATATATATATATATATATATATATATATATGTATATATATATATAATTATAGGGATGAATTTGACGTGCAATATAATTATAGGGATGAATTTAGAAGTACCTGAACATCAGGATGTTACGATTCTCCCCCATTTGAACTAGACTTTGCCCTCGAAGTATGATGTAGTGAACAATTCCAGATAATGCACCCGCATCTCCGCCTCTGACACCCAGGTCCACTCGGAGCCCCCTCCGATTCTGCCACCGTACCTTTACCAAAGGTACTTCCTTGCTACACAAAACCTTCATCTTTCTATGCAGGATAGCTACCAGCCTCTAAACATAGTTCAGGTGCTCATCGACCTGAATATCATCCAAGGAAACCACTTCATCCTCAGCCAATATGCACTTTTGTAGCTGCGAAACATGGAAAGTGTTGTGAATTTAATTGATATCCACCGGAAGATCCAATATATAAGCAAACTTTCCAACCCTAGAAATCACCCGAAAAAGCCTAATATATCGGGGCCCGAACATTTCCCACTTTCTGAAGCGTATCATATCTAGTGCGAACCATCATTCTTCTTGACGAACAATATCGGCTTACCCCACGGAGAACTGCTTGGTTTGATGAACTGATTGCCTAGCAGCTCTTGCAACTGAGATGATAACTCCTGCATCTCAAGTGGTTCTAAGCAGTATGGCGCCTTGGCAATCGGGGCCGCACCTGGCACAAGGTTAATCTTAAACTCGACCTGCCTCTCAGGAGTCACACTGGGAAACTCCTCCAATAATACATCAGCAAACGCCTTGACCACTGGAACTTCTGAAACTGAAATCTAGTCCCCAACCCGAGTGTCAACCACATAAGCCAAATAACCTGCACGCCCATGCTGAATATATTGCCGAACCCTAGCCGTCGAACAAAACCCTGAACCGACCTTGGTGCCCTGTCCATAAATAACTAGTTCTCCCCCACTTGGGGTTCGAACTACCATGCGTTGCCCTCACAATTATGCATAGCACTGAAATGGCTCATCCAATCCATACCCACAATTACACAAACCTCCCCCATAGGAATGGAGATCAAATCAATCGGATAAGGCACACCGAAGATCTCTAATACATAACCCTGATACATTGAAGATGCAGAAACCCCATGTTCATTGGCGATGGAAACCCGCAATGAACACTCTAATTCCCCGATAGGCATAACAAACTCCATATTGAACGATTGAGATACAAAGGACCAACTCGCACCCGAGTCCAACAACACTAGAGCAGCAAAAGAGTTCACTAGGAACATACCTAATAGAGTCACATATATAAGCATAACATAAAACATAATCAACAAGATAATGGATAAAAACATACCACTTACAACATTTGGTGTTGTTCTGGCCTCCTCGGCAGTGAGCTGGAAAGCACGAGCTTGAGCCCACGGGGGCTCCACCCTGCCCTGACTCCCATTAATGATCCTCAAAGTAGCTGACGCTGGAGCCTGCGCTGGCTTAGCAGCAAGTAGGGGACAATTGGCCTTCATATGGCCAACTTGGTCACTATGAAAAAAAATCCTGGAGCTGAGTGTTAGGGCTTGCTGGTGGCAATCCCTTGCCATATGGCCCTGCTGGCCATAATTGTGCACCCAGAAGATAGTTGACACGCTCCATCATGAACCTTGCCACACTCACCACAAGTGTCGCCCTTATGAACCCACATCTGACATCAGCAACCTTAAATCGCTTCGACACAAATTGCGATTTCATCGGGGCCGGTATCTACTCGCTCGTCAGCAACTCAATCTCAATCTCACGCTGCCTGGCGGCCTCCTACAACTCCAACAAAGAAACATAGAACTGGGTGGATACAAACTATTAGATTTCCTTCTTGAGCATGCTCAAGTAATGGGTCATCTGAGCCTGCTCAGATGCAACAAACTCAGGAAAAAATATATCCATCTATGTGAAGATCTTGGTGATATCGATCACCGACTCTGTCCCCTACCTAAGGTATAAATACTCCTAGGCCAACCTCTCATACATCACCAGTGACACATACCTAGAACGAAACATGTCCGAGAACTGCTCCCAACACATAGAAACTCTCTACTCAGGAGAATACGAGCTGGTAACAAGTCTCCACAAATCCTTCATTCCGGATCTCAGAATGTTCAAAGCGTACCTGACCTTCTGGTCAGTTGGGCAAGAGCAGGTGAAAAAGCATACCTCAACATCAAACATCCACCTAATGGTTATGATTGGTTCCAGAACTCCATAAAAATTTGAGGTCTTTATACTGTCGAAGTCTTGATACTGAAAACCCACCCAATACCAATCCCTGCAGCCGCAACTGTTGCGGTGGCTGCAGCAACAACAACCTCAGATAAAGTAGCATAATGCCCATCAAACTAATATATCATGACAGTCTTAATAGACCCAAGCATATCCGTTAACTAAGCTCGGAAGCGAGCAACAACCTCCTCCTACAAGATCTCCCTAATCATGTCATCAGACTTAGCTGGCCCATCCTGACTGCCTGCTCCTGATCCTGATCTGGACCTAGCCTTAAATATCTCATCGTCACAATACTAAAAATAAACCAGGGATATATCATATAACACACATATCATAACGGGGGACCAAATCCCAATCAAAGACCTAGGGGCTGTGATTTCTCTGCTACGTGTATAGGTCCTGTGCTTTTAGTAGTACGGACCCATACTACCTTCCACACCTACCTATAGTTGTCTCCGAGGATCATCACAAAAACCCTAACTATACACACTAGCATACTCATACGCTTAATTCTCATTCCCTAAAGGAAGACTAAACATCTCGAAATTGTCCGACTGACCCCTCACAACTCACCCTACTACTAACTACCACATGACATGCCATTGGTGCCAGATAACTATTGCATGAACACTATCACATACCACACAACTTAAACAATATTAGACTAAAAAATTCACTCCCACAACGGTTGGAATCAAACAAGAGCTGCACAGTAGGACCAAATCCCTTCCCCTAAGACTATTTAACCCATACAATATGTACTTAGCGTATTCACTCAATAATTAGTTCACACACGAAAGAGTCATACAACAATCAATAGGGTATTCTACAAGATATAAGGTATTATATAGCAGGTAATTCTATCATAAGATTCCTGAAGATCCTTATCCTATTACTAGCATGCTGTTCTAACATAACATAACAGAGTCTTAAATAACTTTGTGGTAATTTGGGGTCTACTTATTGGCTTCGGGTGATCGTACACATTGCATCCTCCTTGTTTATTTTGAAAACCTTTTGAAAAACATTTTAAAAATCTTTTTCCTTAGTTTGAGACTAGATTCACATGAGTGTTCCTCCAATTCAATCAAACCAAGGCTCTAATACCAACTTTTAACATCCATAAAAATCATGAAAAATTAAACTTTTAAAACCCACCAGAAATCATATTTGTTTACAATATAGTTTTCAGAACATGTTTAATATCAGATTTTTCCCTAAATCATAAATCAAAACATGAGGAGGTGCACGATCAAGCCTTCACCTTCCCGATATCATTTAAGGTACCTGAAACATAACCTAAAACTGTAAGCCCTAAGCTTAGTGAGTTTCCCCCAGAGTACCAACATAGAACAAATAACACAAATACAATAACATCATGCAATGGGTTCACATCTAAAAGACTGGATTACCCCTGATCCCACATCATAATTCTGGCTTGCCTTTGGGCCTAAAGCTTATGTATGGCTTCCTCCCCGGCCATATCATTCCTCAGACTGGATACTATTAAGCCCTCAACGTGAATCTAACATGACTTTTTCGGCCCTCAACTCATAATGGGAATGCTCATGAGCCCTTAGTAAGAGTCTGTCATGCTCACATCGGCGCTCAACTCATATCTAGATTGCTCCAGTGTTTGTTGGTTACCACACGGAGCAGTACAACCTTAACACAAACCACATATTATGTCGACATATAATAGATAATAACATATACAGATAATCAGACAGTATCACAGTTAGTCCTACAGATCTACCAGACAAACATATTAAAACAAGCATATATATATATATATATATATATATATATATATATATATATATATCTATTTCGCACTCAACATATCAACGAATATCAGGTTATCAAACCAATGGGTTGGCCTTGGTGCCTTCGACCTGTAAGTACAGTGAGGTGAACTTACCTCGTAGACTAAACAAAAATGATGAGGTCCGACTCCAAATCTCAGCTCTCTAACCGATACCTATTTCCAGCAAGTGACCAATTCTATCAAAATCACAAAATACCCCAAATACCCTCAAGGTCCAACGTGGTGAAAGTCAGCAGTCAAGGGCAATAGTCCATGTTGACCCAACACGTCATGCTCCCCTTGGCCACATTGTGTTCTACCAGCAACCAAACAGTAACACTCTTATGGTGCACATGCAACCCTAAATGCTTTAGATCTATGTTTTCTCTAATTATACATGTATTTTCAATATTTTCAAAGCATTCTCCCTAACTAGCATACAATTGTCAATTGAACAATACAACTAGTTAGATGTCATACCTCTTAGAAGGACTTGTAGTTATTGACCTTGAAGCTTGAGAACCCTAAGTGTGATGCCTCTAATGGTTCACAACCACTAATATGCAAGAGGAGGCTTAAGAGAATAATTTACATAGCTCAAAAGATGGTGCAACCGGTTTTGGTTCTAGAGGGGTCTATTTATAGTGTGGCAAATGCTAGGGTTACACTTTGTCAACGCTAATCCTCCATGACTTTTCACATTCTTATGATCCATGGGTTTAACCTCCATGGATTATCTTATTGGTTTATCCCATCTTAAATAATCATGGATCATTGGCCCAGACTTGCCATACTCGTCGAGTAGCAGCGGGCTTGGATCGCAAATTAAGTGACTGACTCGGCGAGTCCGCTAGTGGGACTCAGCGAGTAGGAGCTGGCAAGTGAAACCCTAATTTCCGGGGTTTGTGTCCCTATTTAAAGGAGCCTTAGCCTCCCTTGGGCCTCTTTACAATCTTAGAGAATCCCTGAAAGGTTTGATTTGAGTGTGTGTGCTTTGGTGAGTGTGTGAAGATTGATTTGAAGATTTTAGAAGTAGACTTGAAGGAAGAGGAGGTTGGAGCAAGTAAGGTGGGGAAATTAGCACTATTCTCAGTTGTCATCTTCCATAGGTATCCCAAATCACCATCTCTTCTATGAGTTTTCCTTTTTATGAAGTTCTAGGGCTTTCTATGGACCTTAAGGGTTGATAAGTTGAACAATGAGTTGGATCTAAAGTTGTAACTTCAGATGTGAACCCTCTCCAAGCTCTAGCAATATAAAGTCACATAATTGATCATGTATGAGTGTAACACTGATTTTTCAAACAAAATTTTCGATTTTTATAAAAGCATAAATCCATCAATATTCATAGAACAACCCCTTTTTAATTGTTCAACAAGATATTACAAAATCCCAAGATCAAAATGTCAAGCTCCAAACGTGTGTGTACGGATCAAGCCGGCGCCTTCCCACGGTCGTCACTAGCACCTGAAACAAATAACATCAACACTGTAAGCACAAAGCTTAGTGAGTTTCCCAAAATACTACATATAACACATATTAGCCACTCGAGGCTATAACTCTGTGGGTCCGTGCACCCAAACTCTGCGAACCCTCAGGTTCTAACTCTGTGAACCTTCCGGTTCTAACTCTGTAAACATGCACAACATCAAACATATAAAGTAATGCAGTACAACACATAACATACATAGCATACAATTACTCTATCACATAACTCTGGTTACCTACTCAAGGTAAAGTATAGTGAGAAGACTCACCTCGATGTCTCGGTAAATATCTGACTTGGAAGAA